TTGAAATACTTCACCTTGGGGCAGTACTATTGTCGAAATGGTTCCAGGATTAAGTTAATAGATTTGAGGGAGAGAGGAGCCAGTACAGGACCTATCCCTCCCAGATCTAAATGCATCTGTCTGGAGAGGAGGTGACTTTTTTTAAAGACCTGGAAGCTGTTGCCAATTTGAAGTAAGGAGTGATCAATTTTTGAAAGCATCCTGTCCTTTTCTGCTTTAGATTAAATATGGAAAAGATTTAAAGCACTTTTTTCATATTAACTGTGGATCTCCATTATTGTCTGTCATCATAGAAGTGATATATTGATGACAAAATCAAAGACTTTAGTATAGCTAGAAATAAACCCAGGTATGTCCACCCCACAGCCTGGGAAAACTCTAGAATGGGGTTAGGGTTAGGTGGAAGCTACAGGTGGAAAAGAAGCACTACCCAGGGCAAAAAAAAAAAAAAAAAAAATCCAGTAGCTAATTTGTTTTTCTGTTGTGCATTTTCATTTGCATAGTCAAGACAGCTGTCAACTTTTGTTTGTTTATTTCAATACCTTTGAGTACTTTTATTTTAACATAAGTTACATCTGACATCTTAATAAATGAACATAGACATGGTGACTAGATCTGTCTCGCCTATTCTTTGGTTCAGTGATATTGGCAATTATGGTAAACAGTTTCATGTACTGTGGTAAGCACTCATCTGAATAAAATGAAGAATTTTTCTCTTACAGTTGAAAATGGTGAACACTGCGACTTCACAATTCTAAGAAACATGTTGATAAGGTAACCTTGATTAATGTGCAACATTAATTCCACAAGTTTCTTAATGGAATAGAGTTGGAAGGGGCCTATAAGGCCATTGAGTCCAATCTCCAAATCAAAGCAGATCTGACAAATGTTTGTCCAATTTTCTCTTGAATGCCTCCAATGTTGGAGCACTCACCACCTCTCAAGGTACAGTGGGGCCCCGCTTGACGACGATAATCCGTTCCAGGAAAATCGCTGTTAAACAAAATTGTCAAGTGAAAAAAAACCCTTGGAATGCATTGAAAACCGGTTAATGCATTCCATTGGGGGAAGTACCTGATTGTCCAGCGAAGATCCTCCATAGGACGGCCATTTTACAATCCCTGTGTTGTGAAAATAGGTCCAGAAAACAGCGGGGAGCCCTTTTGCGAACTGCCGATCAGCTGTTTTTAATCGTCATCCAGCGAAAAACAGTTCCCGAAGCAGGGACCGAAATGACGTAAAGTGAAAAAAACCCATAGAGGCATTGTTTTGCGATCGCTAAAGCGATTGGAAAAAAGTCATTGTAAAGTGATTTCGTCATCTAACGGGATTGTCGTCAAGCGGAGCACCACTGTATTTGGTTCCATTGTCGTACTGCTGTGACAAGAAATTTTTCTTGATAGTCAGACTAAATCTGGCTTCCTGTAGCTTGAGCCCATTGCACTCTGGGATGATCAAGAACAGATCCTGCCCCTCCTCCTTTCAAGTGTTTGAAAAGTTTTGTCTTCCTTCAGTCATCTAACAATATTCACACAAGCTGACTCAATGATGAGTTTCTTTAAAATGGTTGGACTACAGTATATTAGGAGACTAGAGATGGATATTTGCTAGTAGTCCTATTGAATATAGCAAAGTTATCGTACAGTTTGTGAATGGCACAGTGGTTAAACCACTGTACTGCAGCCAAAACTGTGCTCACAACCTGGGCTTCAATCCCAGGTAGCGGCTCAAGGTTGACTCAACCTTCTATCCTTCCGAGGTCGGTAAAATGAGTACCCAGCTCACTGGGGGGGGGGCA